AGCAGAGAGCTGGATTGGAAGTAGAGCACCCGGGACTTGAACCAGTGCCCATGTTGGATGCCGGCTCTGCAGGTGGTGGCTTTACCCACTACGCCACAACGTGGGCCCCCATGCCATTTTATTTTAAAATTGGCTTTATTTGAACAAAGTTTCTAATTATCAACCACGACAAGGCAGCGTGTTGCTCAGCTGCTCTAACATAAAAGGTGGGAGTCATGTACTGCAGTAAGTATTTTGCATCCAAATGGTTTATAAATTGAAAACATAGGTGAAGCAGAATGGTAAAAATCAAATACAGTCTCTCACCTACTTGTTCTTCTTTCTTTCTCTCTCTGCTACATGTCATTCAAAGAGACATAAACAGACACCACTCTATCATTTTTGACACAGTCATATTTATGATGCAAAATGTATGCTGAAGTTGTGTAACCATTTGGGTTCCTTAGTCAGGAGGATTAAACCAACTGTGTACACAAGCCATCTTTTCCTGCCGCATCTCCTGCTACACAGAAGCCTGTTCTAGCCTCAGACTCCCTCCGACATCAGCTGCCATAAGCAGTAACTGTCACTGGTATTCTAGTGCTTTACATATGGACACTGTTTGACAACATTTCAGAATACCTTTACATCAGTTCTCCCCCTGAAGGCTCAAAGCTCTGCCACGTACCAGCTATGAAGACTTGGATGAAGGGGCCGGGGCTGTGGTTCCTTCAATATGTAGCTATTTACTCCCTTTACAAATATTTTGGAGTTTCTGTCCTGTATCAGGAGTTGTGCTAAGTTCTGTGGAAATTTAAAGAAGGGCAGGCGCTGTGGCATAGCGGGTAAAGCCACCGCCTGCAGTGCCAGCATCCCATATGGGTGCTGGTTCAAGTTCTGGCTGCTCCACCTCTGATCCAGCTCTCTGCTATGGCCTGGGAAAGCAGTAGAGGATGGCCCAAGTCCTTGGGCCCCTACACCCATGTGGGAGACCCAGAAGAAACTCCTGACTCCCAGCTTCGGATTGGCGTAGCTCCAGCCGTTATGGCCATCTGGAGAGTGAAACAGCTGATGGAAGACCTCTCTCTCTCTCTCTCTCTCTCTCTCTCTCTCTGCCTCTGCCTCTCTGTTACTCTGCCTTTCTTTAAAAAAAAAATAAAAAGATTTATTTATTTACTTGAATGAGTTATACAGAGAGAGAGAAAGGTCTTCCACCCACTGGTTCATTCCCCAGTTGGCCGCAACGGCCGGAGCTGCGCCAATCTGAAGCCAGGAGCCAGGAGCTTCCTCCAGGTCTCCCATTCAGGTACAGGAGCCCAAGCACCAGGTATAGAGGTGGCTAAATACCACTTTACGAAGCTCCTGCTGTTGTCCAAAAAAGTCTGAGACAAGCTCTGCCCTTAGGAAAGCATTCTCCTCATATGTTGCAGTAATGCAAAGAGGAAATACAAAATTGTTTTCATCCTGTTTATGAGTGAAACAAAAAAATTTTGCTTGCCCTTTAAACACATTCTTCGGTAAAGATAATGGCAATCTGAATTATGGATTTTTTACTTTTTCACTGTTTAAACCACTTGATTCCATTTTCTTTTCCTCTTATTGCTGAGCACTGAGAATTGTTTTGTTACAAAATGTATAAAAATGTCACTGTAATGTTCTTGAGATACTCTGGCTTTCAGAGCCACTATATACACCGTCTTTACTTTCAACAATTAATCCTTTGCCTAAAGGGGAAAAGAAGAGAATCCCTCATTTAAATGATCAATGGGAGAGAACTCACACAGAATAACCAACAACTCTCACAAGTCTATCATTTGGAACTTGCAGAATGTAAAAAATGACACCTCAGAGACAGAAATGTCAATGTGTTGAGATCCAATTCCCTGTCTTTCCCGGGCTTCGAGCACCATTGCACACTTCCCGTCAGCCTTTGAGCACAAAACACACTGCCCTGGTTTTTCACATCCACCACCTTGTTTTATTCCCATCACAGTTCTTTCTGTCACCTCAGGACACTTCCAACAGCGACAAGGGGCAAGAATAGGGGAAAAAGGGCGGTGCTCCACCAGAACACTGAGTTAGGAGTTTCCGCTCCAAAGTACTTCCTGTCTGCTGCTGTGCCTGAAATCCCACCATTAAATCCCACCATTAGGTTTGGAGTTTCTTCAGTCTGGTTTTCAGAAAGCAGATCCTCCCTAAGCTGTAATCAAACATGACCTCAGTCTTGCAGATGATGGGAGCGGAGAACTCCAAGAGGGCAGGAGGAAGGACAAGGGAGGCCAGAGCACGCAGTGCCTCGTCCAGCAGGCCTTGCCTCTGCGGAGGTCACTGCTTCCAGCTCCCAGGGCTTAGCAGGCACGGCAGGTCTGCACTACGTGACACCGGGATTTCACTCTTTGTTTCCTCAGTTAGTCATCTCCTACCTACCATTTTGCTGGCTTCTGATAAAAGACTGTTTTTTAACATTCTGTCCACCCCCTACCAAGACTAAAACAGTAAGTCAGTTTTCTAGTTATCACACAGTAAGTGGAGGAATCAAGATTTGAACTTTCGCAAAGTTACTCTCAATTACTACTCAGTATTTTTACACAACTATTCTAATTCCATGCACAGTCAGGAAGTAACGCAGGAACATTTGTTTTGGAGGGCAGGTGTTTGGAGCAAGGGTTAAGACATCACTTGGAAAATACATGTATCCCACATCAGAGTGCCTAGGTTTGGTCCTAGCTCCACTCTGAATCCCAGCTTTGTGCTAGAGCATGCTGTGGGAGGCAGAGGGTGGTAGCTCAAGTTGTTGGCTTCCTGCCACCCATGTGGGAGACCTACTTTGAGTTCTTGGCTCCCAGATGTTCAGACACTGACTCTCTGCCTTTCAAATAAGTTTTAAAACAAAGAAGCACATTTACTTTGGGTACCCCCAACCAACCACTCACCTTCCAAATACCATTTCCCTAATGTCTTCTCAAACCTGATATCAGGTGCTAAATTTTTTTTAGATTTATTTATTTATTTGAAAATATTTTTTATTTATTTATTTGAAAGGTAGAGTGACAGAGAGAGGTGGTTGATTCCCCAAATGATTACAATGACCAGGGATGGGCTAGGCCAAAGCCAGGAGCCTGGAACTCCATCTAGGTCTCCCATGTGGGTGCAAGGGCTCAAATACTTGAGCCATCTTCTGCTGCTTTCCCAGGCACATTAGCAGGAATCTGGATCAGAAGTAGAGCAGCTGGCACTCAAACTGGTGCTCATACAGGATGCCAGTGTTGTGGGCAGCAGCTTAATCCACTGCATCACAATGCTGGCCCCATAGGCGCTTCATTTATACCTGGACGAGAAAGAGCTGCACCAGTGGCTTTCCCATATAATCTTCAGTTAAATAAAAACCAGTAATTTAAATTAAAACCATGAAGACTTAACCTTAGAATCTCAAGCATGAGGGCCAGCGCTGTGGCGTAGCCAGTAAAGCCATCGCCTGCAGTGCCAGCATCCCATATGGGTGCCAGTTTGAGTCCTGGCTGCTCCACTTCCCATCCAGCTCCTTGCCAATGTTCCTGAGGAAGCAGCAGAAGATGGCCTAAGTGGTTGGGCCCCTGTACCCGCATGGGAGACCCGGAAGAAGCTCCTGGCTCTTGGCTTCAGATCAGCCCAGCTCCAGCCATTGCAGCCATCTGGGGAGTGAACCAGTGAATGGAAGACCTCTCTCTCTGCTTCTCTTCTCTCTGTATATAACTCTGATTTTCAAATAAGTAAATAAATCTTTAAAAAAAGCTCAAGCATGATTGAAGATGAAAGTTGGCCCCAAGTATGACTAAGTGGATATAGAAGAAATACCAAACTGAAACATGTTTCCAGCAATATATTACTATAAATAAAACCGTGGCCTAGAATTGATTTTATTCCAAGCTCCTAATTTTAATCAGCAAATTAATGGTCTTAAGTCTCCATATTATGGGCCATTTGATGGGATATTTTATCCAAAAATATAAATTATTGTAGTGCTTCAAAGGGAGGCACTAAAAGAACGGTTGCTAGCCATAAGTCCCCTGGTCTTGATTTAAAGAAAATGTAGGGGGAAAGCCCTGCTTTTTAAATTCTTCTCTGTCTAGTTTTCCTGACAAACCTGTTTGATGGGCGTCAGGGACCTGAAGCAGAGCTTCCAGGGAAAAAGTAGCCATCACTCATGCTCCATTGGATTTCTATGACAGAATGATCACATTCTGCAGAACCTGGCATAAGCACATCATTATTAAGCCTTGCCTTAGCATTTCTTAACTGATCACGGATGCTGCGGTCCTTGGTGGCTTCTCTCTTCTGGCACTGCTTGTAGTTATTTGACCTTTTCTCAGTGGATAATCCACACAAAAAGCCCTAATTACTTCCCCAGCTTTGACCAGCCAGCAATGTGAATAATCAATGACACTCATTTAGGTATTGCACAATCAGATGCTTATGGTGTTTAAAGAACATTTTTCCATTGACCTGCCACAGCTGTAGGACAATTACAAGCAGCAAAGCTGCTGTTGTAATCACAAGATGACCAGGTGACCTTGCGGGTTTAAAGTTGATGACTGGGGCCTTGACTGGGGCATAGTCATGATGCAGAACAGATTTTGGGTGAGAAAGGAGGCTTCATTGTATACTAATGTGACATGCTCAGCCCCAAGAGCAATGTTCTGAAATATTGACAAGTCACAAGACTCATATTGGCAAGTAATATTCAGTGCTTGTATCCATGATTTCAGATACTTCTTCCTATGAGACATAAAACAGTAAATAAATAAGATTAGAAAAAAAGCTAAACTCTTGCCACACCTTTTTCTACACTTGTGATTGTAAATATGAAGATAAAATTGGAATAAGGTTTCCTATCTACATAGATATTTAAAGATTTATAGGATGTTAATTGTTTAAGTATATTCAAATTGTCAACTTTATCCATAAAAATCAATGTTTTTATTAATTATTAATTAATAATCATTAATTTTTTATTTATTTGCAAGGCAGAAGAGATAGAAAGACAAGAGATAGACAAAAAAAGGCCAAGCTCTTGTTCCCTTGTTCACTCCCTAAATGCCTACAATGGATGAGGCTTGGCTAGGCCAAAGCTGGGAGCCAGTAATTCAGTGCAGGTCTCCCATGTGGGTGCCAGACTCTACTACGTGAGCCATCACCTGCTACCTCCCAGTGTGCACATTAGCGGGAAGCTAGAATTGGGAGCAGAGCCAAGACTTGAACCAAAGTACCCTAATATAGGATATGGGATCCCAACAAGCACCTAAATTACTAGGCTAAACACCCACCTCACAAAGATCAATATGAAAAAGATGTGAAGTATGTGGTTCTTTGAAATTATGACTAGTTATCAAATTATATATAAAGCTGAACTATCAGCTCTAGGAAAATGGAACATGACATTTCCAAGCACGTGTTCCTGGAAGACAGTCCTCTGTTGAAAATCCTCTGGAGACAAGGAAGCACATGCTATCCTCCTCTACAGTGCACACAGCACAGTGGAAGTTTTAGAGGGGCCAGCGCTGTGGCGTAGCTGGTGAAGCTGCTGCCTGCTGTGCCGGCATCCCATGTGGACACTGGGTTAAGTCCTAGCAGCTCCACTTCCAATCCAGCTCTCTGCTACGGCCTGGGAAAGAAGTACAAGATGGCCCAGCTTTGGCTGTTGCAGCCATCTGGAGAGTGAACCAGCGATGGTAGACCTCTCTCTCTCTCTCTTTCTCTCTCTCTCTGCCTCTGCCTCTCTCTAACTCTGCCTTTCAAATAAATAAATAAATCTTTAAAAAAAAGTTTTAGAATATGCTTCTCAAAACAACTTTGGGAAATGCTACCACATAAGTCTTCTTTTTCTTGTGTTTTACGATCTTAGATGAAAATTGAATTGGTAAATATCGGTTCTTGCTTCAGAACATGAACGAATAGACTTTCTACCTTACATTGGAACTCCCTTAACATTTTCATAAGGTTGTGACTTACAGTGTTTTTTTTTTTTAAAGAACACAAAGCAAGATCAGTAAAAAGCAAGAAAATAAGTTGACAGGACAATGGGACAGGTATGTTCCTGGCAGAAAAGAAGAAAAGAAAGTGTCCTAAACTAGGGACACAAAGAGGAGACTGGAATGGAAAAAGTTGCAGATGAATGAAAAGGAACGGAAGGTGGGAGGTCACCGCACAGACCACCCTCTCCTTTTCTCAACCTCAAAGCTGTCCTGATTTCATCTGGCAGAAGAAGACAGACCAGCTCATCAGCATGCAGTTGATGATTTACCCAGCCTGCTGCCAGAGACAGCACTGTCTAAAGACACAGTGGAGAATGAGGAAAAACAGGCAGACCCCAGAGAGTGAGCCAAGAAAGCAAAGCATTGAACAAACTCACACAGCAAAAAGAGGGCGAATCTGATGGTGTAATCTTGATCAATCCCCAAATAGTGGAAGTTTTTACATCCGGGGCTCCTGGGATTTGTAATGAAGTTCTTACTGATACTAGCAGAATCCAATTCAAAATCTTTGTAGTGAATGAGCTGCATTCTTTTAAAAAAAAATTTTTTTTTAAAGATTTACTTATGTATTTGAAAGAGTCACAGAAAGAGAAGGAGAGACAGATCTTCCATCCACTGATTCTCTCCCCAAATGGCTGCAAAGCCAGGACTGGGCCAGGCCAAAGCCAGAAGCCAGGAGCTTCATCCAGGTCTCCCACGTGGGTGGCGGGGGCCCAAGCATTTGGGCCATCTTCCAATGCTTTCCCAGGCCATTAATAGGGAGCTGGATCAGAAATGGAGCCACCAAGACAGGAAATGGCACCCATACGGAATTCTGGCATTGCCGGTTGCCAGCATAACCTGCTACACCACAATGCTAGCCCCAAATTAGCTGCTTTTTAAACACCATTTTAGCCTTAGTACACTTCACTAAGCTTTCCTTTAGGGAAAGCCTCCTTGGGTGATATTTATAATAATTTCTTCATGCATGCTATTGCTTTGTTGAAAATAAGGCCTACATTTTTGGGGGTTCTGCAGCACCCCAGGATTAAGGTAATCATTACTCCACCACTCTCTTTCCAGGACCCAATAACCTCAGACAACGGTTTCTAGTTTATGATGTGTTTGGGGAATTTTTGGCTTTTGGCATCCACAGATGTCCAACAGAAACATTAATTGTTAACGTTATTAAAGTCAGTAGAGGCAGGCAGTTAGAGACACAAGGGGCAAGCAGGTGGAGGCAGAGACAGCAACACCAGAAACGTTTACTCATGCAAATTGCTGACTACACCATTTCTTCTGCAATGTTGAAAAACTCAGACTTGTAAATAACGGCATCCAAGTGAATGTGGCAAGACAGTATGCAGCGCATACTCAGGATTGTTCTCCTGGTCACACACTTTACCTCCTCTAATCCTATCACAGCACACAAAGCCTTTATATTCCCAGTAGCAATTTAGATCTCGCTCTAAATCTAAGCAAGACATTTCCAGGAGGAAAATACTTGAAAGAAAAGGGTTCAGGAAGCCTGCATCCAGGGAGTAAAATATATTGCCATCTGGCTTCATATTGAACCCTCGAGTCCTAAGAATGTGAAATTTTGAGACATGGTGTATGGGAGATGTACTATTTTCAGCCAATGTCATTTTTAGCACTTTGCAGAAGACAAAACTAGGCACAGCAAAGTAAATGACAGAGATTGCAGTATGTAAAGAGAACAGCACAAAGGGGACATATAAACATTTTAAATGTATAACAAGATACCTGCAGATCTAATTATTAAACTTTCATATCATTCTCCTTAGTGTAAGAAAATACTAGCTTTAATGTAAATATCAAAAGAAATACAATCACCTAGGAAAACAATTGTAAATAAAAATCCTAGGGGTCATAATCTAAATGCCACTTGTGTATATTTAAAATAGATGCTTATAACACTCAAAATTCAAACCCAGAATCAGAAACAGCAGGATGGTTACATCAAAAGTATTTGCCTTGAGGCCAGCATTGTGATGTAGCAGGTTAACCCATTGCCTGAGATGCCAGGATCCCATATGGGTGCTGATTCATGTCCCAGCTGTTCCACTTCTAACCCAGCTCCCCACTAATGGCCTGGGAAAGCAGCAAAAGATGGCCCAAGTTTGGGGCCCTGCACCCACACGAGAGACCCAGAAAAAGCTCCTGGATCTTGGCTTCCGCCCGGCCCAGACCTAAAGGTTGTGACCATTTGGGGAGTAAACCAGCAGACGGAAGAGCTCTCTCTGTAACCTGGCCTTTCAAATAAATAAATAAAAATCTAATTAAAAAAAAAAAACTAAGTTCTCCCTATTAAAAAAAACTTCTTTATAAAGTATTTGTTGTGCATTTGTGTCTACTTAGGATTGCTGAATCTCCTGGGCATTATATGAATGATCTGGAGAAAAGACACCTACTTTTCTTATTTCTTCTCCAATTAAACTGCTGTATACAAGAAGGCAGTCTCTATACTCAGGATGGGTTCCTGCATGATTGAGAAACCAGTTCAAAGGAATGCTTCTTGAACTTGCAGCAACTTAGCAACTCATTATTATTTTCATCAAACCAACCAAAACTTTCTTGATATAAATACAGTTTCTTTTTCTAATCAGTCAGCATATCTGAACATTAAAGCGTGTTTGATTTTCCCAGAGTTTTGGTTGATTGCTTGCTCTGAGGAACTTGCCTTCTTTCATACAGTTAATAGAATTTGGGAAAGGTGCTATAAGAAAGCTCTGACAATGCAATGAGTTTGTTTACCACGCATTTCCAAGAAAAAACGTTGGTCAGTCACTTGGGTATTTTTCCCACAGGAAGCCAAAAAATCTGAATGTCACAAACACTCATATATCCTTGCATATTTGACAGATGCTAAAAATTGGACCAGTTAAACTATATAAAATATTCATAATATCATATGAAAATGTATTCCAACTTTCACTTGAGCTTGCCAGGAACAAATCTCTGCTCAGTCCCTTGGCTGAGAATCTATCTCCTGACCCAGTAAGGCAGTAACTTTAGCAAGAGATGGATATCATTGACAGCTAGTAACTTGACTCTACGTTTGAAAATCTTTGGGGCCCGGACTCCCCTAAGGTGATCCAACTTGGGGTCAAAGAGGGACAGGCTTCTAATACACTGTTGTGTAAAAGTTGTTAGAAACTGGCTTCCTTCTTCTTGGAAGTTCACAGCAGCCCTGGCTACTCCTCTGTCGTGCCCTAGCTTTTGCTTTCCTGCAACATTCAGGTCCCAAGGTATCAGCCTATCAACCATATTCTAGGAATGGCTCTGGGAATGGAAGCTGTTGTACAATCAGGCAATTTAGGAATATCTTAAAGATTATCTAATCCAGAAATGCTTAAACCTTCCCAGGTCATTTTTCACAGTAACCTGTAGTCCAAAAGTAATGACTAACAATCCCAGTCATTAAGTGTTTAGGTACAAACATTCTTTTTTTTTTTTTTTTTAAAGATTTATTTATTTATTTGAAAGAGTTACACAGAGAGAGGAGAGGCAGAGAGAGAGGTCTTCCATCCGATGGTTCACTCCCCAGATGGCCGCAACGGCAATCCAAAGCCAGGAGCCAGGAGCTTCTTCCTGGTCCCTCATGTGGGTACAGGGGCCCAAGGACTTGAGCCATCTTCTACAGCTTTCCCAGGCCATAGCAGAGAGCTGGACAGGAAGCGGAGCAGCCGGGTCTCGAACTGGCGCCCATATGGGATGCTGACGCTTCAGGCCAGGGCATTAATCCACTGCGCCACAGCGCCGGCCCCAGGTACAAACATTCTTGTATTCATGAACTAACAACTTAGGAGGTGTTTTTAAAAGCACATAAATTAAATTAAAAGAAAAACATAATTTATTTAATTCTTAACCACAATTATATGCAAGATACATAAACTTGTTCAAAAATGCACATCTAAAACCTTGGACCCAAACTGGATACAACCATCCTCCTTTCTTGTTCTTTACTGATTTTCATAGTACTTGCTTTTCACCACAGCAGTAGCCCAAAATCCAGCTTTGCAAAGAAAAGACATAACGCGTTAACTCTCTAAAGCTATTGTTTTCCTGGTGTCTAAAAGATGTTAAGTATCATTGTTCTTTGCAAAATTTTAAATTTTAATTAAATTTTAAATTTTAAGTAGCCCACAACATCCTTGTTAGCTTATTGCAGCACCCCCAAGACATCCAGACACACACTTTGGGGATTGCAAGTCCAGAAAAATGTTACATTTCATGGGTAATCAAACTAAGACTAAGGACAGTAAAGGAATTTTTCTAAGATTCTCTAGCTAGTTATAAGCGAAATCAAAATAAGAAGCTATGTTTAAAATACTGAGAATTTAATTAGATCCCACAAAAATTTAATTAGATCCCACAGATCTTGAACCTGCAGAGTAAATCTATGTACTGGAAACTCACCGCAGGTCTTTGCATTAGCTGCCAGACGGCCCTCCACCTGCTGATAAGAAGGCAGGATTAATCGTAGAGCTAAGAGTGGCGCTGTCTTCAGACTCTGCATCCAGGAGCCCTCACCACAGCAGTTCCCCGCTTCCCTTGATCACAGACCCTCTTTCTCTTTCTCCTTGTGTCTCCTCTTCTTGTTCTTTGGTGTAGTTTACCTTCAGAGAGCACATGCCTTTAGAAGACCCAGTTCCTGCAGACAAGAGCTTATTAGATGGCTGCTATTTTACTTCAGCATTCCTTCTTCCCTTCTTCCTTGTAAAAGGATACACAATTTTTTGTTGAGCTATTTACAATAAAGATTACATCCTCCAGACTCTGGAGCAACTAGATACAGCTATATGACTAATTTCTGGCTGATGGTATATAAGTAGATGTAATGAGTACAATTTCTGTAAAGTGTTGTTGAGAGAAGGGAAGTGCCTATTTCTCCCTTTCTACCTGGTGGCTGAAATGAGAACTTGATAGCTGGAGTTCAAGCAGCCATCCTGGACCTCAAAGGGGAAGCTGGATATTGAGGATGATGAACCAACAAAACAGAAGGAGGCTGGTCCCTGTTGATGTTGGGCCCTGGCCTGTTGCCCACAATACTAAACATAAATAAGAAAGAAAATACATTAATGTAGTATTTACACCATTGTTATTTCAGGGTTTTTGTCAATACCAGCTAAAACTTGTACTAGTAATACTTTTTTTTTAAGATTTATTTATTTATTTGAAAGGCAGGGTTATAGAGAGGTAGAGGCAGAGAGAAAGAGAAAGAGGTCTTCCATCTGCTGGTTCACTCCTCAAATGGCCACAACAGCCAGAGCTGCGCCGATCCAAAGCCGGGAGCCAGAAGCTTCTTTCTGGGTCTCCCATGTGGGTACAGGGGCCCAACGGCTTGGGCCATCTTCTACTGCCTTCCCAGGACACAGCAGAGAGCTGAATCAGAAGTGGAGCTGCAGGGACTCAAACCAGTTTCCATATGGGATGCTGGCACTGCAGGCGGTGGCCTTATCCGCTATGCCACAGTACCGGCCCCTAGTAATACATTCTTAACAATATAATGTATTTTACCATAACTCCTATAGATTTTTATTGTCTTACATTTAAAATGTGTAAAGTTTTAGGAAACATAGCTCCAGACACTGGTCACCAGTATATGAAACCAAACTTACTCTTACTTCCTTAAAGATTTTTTTTTTTAATTTTAAGATTTTTATTTTTAAAATTTTAATTGGCTTTTAACATCCAATATAGTTCAAAGATGCAATTCTAAGAATATAATGATTGGGGTTGGCACCACCTGCAGTGCTGGCATCCCATATCAAGTCCTGGTTGCTCCACTTCTGACCCAGCTTCCTGATAATGCTCCTGGGAAAGTAGCAGAACATGATCAAAGTGCTTGGGCCCCTGCATCCACCTAAGAGACTGGAAGAAGCTCCTGGCTCCTGACTTCGGCCTGGCTCAGCTCTGGCCATTGTAGCCATTTGGGGAGTGAACTAGCAGATGGAAGATTCTCTCTCTCACTCTCTTTCTCTCTGCCTCTGCAGAGAACTTCCACCTGCTGGTTTACTCCCCAAATGGCCACAACAACTGGGGCTGGACCAGGCCAAAGCCAGGAGCCAAGAGCTTCTTTCAGGTCTCTCATGTGGGTGCAGGTGCCCAAGCACTTGGGCCATCCTCTGCTGTTTTCCCAGGCACATTAGCAGGAAGCTAATGGAAGTGGAGCAGCTGGGATTTGAACAGGCACCCATATTGGATCCCGACGCTGCAGGCTGGGGCTTTAAAATACTGCACCACAGGGCCAGCCCCAAATTCTTTTTTTAAAAAGATCTATTTTATTTATTTGAAAGGCAGACTTTTCTCTGTCTCTCCCTCTGTCTATAACCCTGCCTCTCAAATAAATAAAATATTTAAAAAATTAATAAATAAAAGTTGTTGCTGTAACATAGTGAGCTAAGCCACTGCCTGCAGTGGTGGCATCCCATTACAGGCACCAGTTCAAGAACTGGCTCCACCTCTTCCTATCCAGCTCTCTACCATGGCCTGGGAAAGCAGTAAAAGATGGCCCAAGTGCTTGGGAGTGCTCCCCATGTGGGAGGTCCAGAAAAAGCTCCTGGCTCTTGGCTTCCCATAGGCCCAGCTCCAGCTGTTGCTGCCATTTGGGGAGTGAACCAGGGAATGGAAGACCTTTCTGTCTGTCTCTCCCTCTGTCTGTAACTCTGCCTCTCAAAGAAAGAAAGAAAGAGTTACAGAGAGAGGGGGAGATAGACAGAAATGTCTTCCATCCACAAGTTCAAACCACTCCCCAAATGGCCACAACGTCTAGGGCTGGGCCAGACCAAAGCCAGGAGCCAGGGGCTTCATCTGGGTCTCCCACATGGGTGCAGGGGCCCAAGGACTTGGGACATCCTCTGCTGCCTTCCCAGGCACATCAGCAGGGAGCTGGATCAGAAGTAAAGCAGTCAGGACTTGAACCAGTGCCCGTTTGAGAAGCTGGCATTGCAGGCAGCGGCTTTACTGCTCCACCAGTTTGCCATCCCCAAGAAAAATATACAAGATGTTAGAGTATACAACATGGTTCAGCTCTGCATAACATTTTCATAGTCATAATAAAGTAAGCACCAGATATTAAACAAAGAGAAATTACAACATAATTGGTGGGGAAACTAGAAATGTACCACCAGGCAGTAATGAAAAAACTGATGGCTACAAAAGTAAAAGAAAGATAAGTTCTGGCCAGCACCGCGGCTCACTTGGCTAATCCTCTGCCTGTGGCACCGGCACCCCGGGTTCTAGTCCCAGTCAGGGCGCCGGCTTCTGTCCCGGTTGCTCCTCTTCCAGTCCAGCTCTCTGTTGTGGCCGGGAAGGCTGTGGAGGATGCCCTAAGTGCTTGGGCCCTGCACCCACATGGGAGACTAGGAGGAAGCACCTGGCTCCTGGCTTTGGATCGGCGCAGCACACCGGCCACAGCATGCCAGCCATAGCAGCCATTTGGGGGGTAAACCAATGGAAAAAGGAAGACCTTTCTCTCTGTCTCTGTGTCTCTCTCACTGTCTAACTCTGCCTGTAAAGAAAGAAAGAGCCGGCGCCGCGGCTCACTAGGCTAATCCTCCGCCTAGCGGCGCCGGCACACTGGGTTCTAGTCCCGGTCGGGGCGCCGGATTCTGTCCCGGTTGCCCCTCTTCCAGGCCAGCTCTCTGCTGTGGCCAGGGAGTGCAGTGGAGGATGGCCCAGGTGCTTGGGCCCTGCACCCCATGGGAGACCAGGAAAAGCACCTGGCTCCTGGCTCCTGCCATTGGATCAGCTTGGTGCGCCGGCCACAGCGCACCAGCCACGGCGGCCATTGGAGGGTGAACCAACGGCAAAGGAAGACCTTTCTCTCTGTCTCTCTCTCTCACTGTCCACTCTGCCTGTCAAAAAAAATAAAAAAAAGAAAGAGAGAGAGAGAAAAAAAGAAAGAAAGAGAGAGTTCTTATTTTCCACAGTAAATGGATAGTGCCTAAAAATAAAATATCAAGAAGTAGCAGAATAAGATTTAGTGACGGCCGGTGCCACGGCTCAGTAGGCTAATCCTCCGCCTTGCAGCGCCAGCACACCGGGTTCTAGTCCCGGTCAGCGCGCCGGATTCCGTCCCAGTTGCCCCTCTTCCAGGCCAGCTCTCTGCTGTGGCCCGGGAGGGCAGTGGAGGATGGCCCAAGTACTTGGGCCCTGCACCCCATGGGAGACCAGGAAAAGCACCTGGCTCCTGCCATCGGATCAGCGCGATGCGCCGGCCGCGGCGGCCATTGGAGGGTGAACCAACGGCAAAGGAACAAAGGAAGACCTTTCTCTCTTTCTCTCTCTCTCACTGTCCACTCTGCCCATCAAAAAAAAAAAAAAAAAAAAAAAGATTTAGTGACACAGAGCCAAATATCACCAGAAAAAACTGAAAAAGTTAGAAGTGGTTTCTCCCAGGGACTGGGAGGTGGGGTTAGGGTGGAGAGGAAGGAACAGGAGGAGTGTCCACTTAGCAGAGTACAGTCTGTGGACAATTTAACTGTTTAAAATATGTGGAGGGGTGACCTTGACACAAATTAAAACTACACTTGATATAACCCCCAAAAGAAATACACTCTCACATGGATTCTGATTGTTTGGCATGCTTTATCAGGTAAATTTTTCAAATAATGATTATAAACAACACATGATTTGAGAATTTTAAACTGTTTAAGAAATAAAGACATTATTTAACTTACCAAATTCAGTTGGTAAGTAAAAGTGAACAGATTTTAAAAAACTGATTATTTTTAAAGTACTCAAAATTCCTCTACTTTGTTCTACTCTGTTTAGATCATTACTACTAAGAAGAACTTATCTAAATACTAACCACTTCACTTGATCACCTAAAACTACTTAAAAGATCTAATGGAAGAGTGTTTATATTATGGAAGACAATATGGTAAGATAGTTAATGTAAGAATAAGCTCTCTCATTAAGTAGGTCATCCAAAGAACAACATGTACTAAGTACTCCTAGAGTCCAGCTAAAAAATATAAACAAATGAAAGATGAACACGTGCATGTTACAGTTATAAATAAATATGACAATGAAAATATTGTTTTAATTGGACATCCCGTACTTGCTCAAATTTATTTTTTCTGTACAAAGTGTCTTTTGAAGTCTGTCAAACCAGACACATGTTTTTTTAAATGTCCTGGAGTTTATATGAATTGTATACAGGCTTTCATTTGAGGATTTATGCTGATAGTTGACAACCAACTTAAAGCTGGATTAATTAGCATTTTTACTCCCAACACACCTACCTTGGCATTCTGTTTTTTAGTTTTGACACTCCTCATCCAAATGACAATCAGTTTGTGGCACCAGCATGTCAGCCAGGGAGAGGTTCATAAGCTATTCTGTTACCCATTTTGCTAAAGAGAAAAAAAATGTGCTATTGGTTAATGTAATACTAACTATATTTTGAAACTGTGTCTTAAATTAAATTAGAAAATAAATTTGAAAAATCAGAAGAGCTAGGTGTGTTGAGCTGCTTCCCTAACTAGTCTATCACGCAGCTTCCTCTAAGACCACAGGTCTCTCCCTGCTCGTAAGCCACATTATTTGCTTCTCAAATCACCAACCTGAGAGCACTGTACAATTTTATCTGTCTATATTCTATTTCTGCTTTATGCTGCAGTTATATCAGAGCTATATAAGAGTGTGTTTTCTATCACTACAAAGGCCAGATAAAATAGTTTACTACATCAAACTGGGGAATTATACATATAAATTATCTGCTGTCTATAGATTGTGTCTATAAAAGATAAAAGCATTTTTCCCCTTCCAGAGAGAATATTCCCAATGACTTTGCCTCACACATAAATTGTCTTTTAAGGGACCAGGTGCAATGGGCAAAGACTTGGCTGTCTTCCCAACCCAGCTTTGAGTTTTGATTTCCAATGTACATGTCGAGTTAGGAATCACAGAAATGCAGAATTTGGAGTTTAAAGACACCGAGTCAAGAATTGTTTTCTTTCACCTTTTGCCTTAGGGAAGAGAAAGTGGTGGAGGAATGGCACTTGGGGGAAGTCATCTGAATTGAAATGAATTTAATTGCTTTTCCTGTGGGTTTTCCTGCCTCCACAAGTGGCTGTAAGAGTATTCTCTGTCTCCACAGATCTATATCAGTGGGAACAGAAGAGGAACCTAGAATTTGGACACTTCGTTAAAAATCCAGGCATTTCTCCAGCTTTGTTCCAAATTCTCCAGCTTTGTTTCAAATGCCCACGATTCCACTGGACACATTTATGTGACATGATCAGATGATTGGTAACTGGCAAAACATCATGATGACAGTAGCTCACTTCTCCCAAACCAGTTTGGAAGTGTAGATCCACACCTGCATGGGACTTTGGGGTAGAGATGAGATTCTACTCCATTTCTTCATTGATAAGATATTGAACTCAGTGAGGTCTACTCTAGAGAAATGTTGAGAAGACAAGAAATTTCTAACTAACTAGGAAAGGAAATAGCTAGAAACAGAGGCTGCCTTGGGTATGGCTCAGACCGAGAAAGTAAAACCTCCTTACACTTGAGTTTGTGCATCTGTCACTGTGCCCAACAGGTGGTAATCAAATGAGAAGATCCTTTCCATGTTCTGCTCTATGTAAGGAAGGCAGTGCAACCCCAAGCATTTCGATGGACTAAACTTAGGTTTAAGTTTAGTAATAACCTGCAGCAGAATCTCTCAGCACACTATTATCCTTGGATGGCTGCTAAATTAGAAATTGAAGAGACACCGAGCATTTGCATATGCTGTTCCATCATCTAGAATGTTCTTTTCATGGCCAGCTTTTCATTCATGAGGTCTTTGTATAAATGTTACCTTTAAAAGGAGATCTTTCTTTATCACCCTTTGTAAAGTGGATTCCCGCAACCTCTACCCCCAGTTATCATCCATCATAACACTTTGTTTATCCCTTTTATGGAATTATTACACAATTATTTTAATTATAATTTTTTCTTATCTCTCTCCCCATTAGAATGGAAACTTCCAATTGTATTTCCAGGAATTAACAAGGACTTGAAACACAGTATACCTACTAAGAATACCTCGTATATACCAAATAAAGATTTATGAGCAAATGAGTACAGCAGATTACTGAGAAGTTTTACTTACACATTTAAAACATTTTATTTTGGGGACCGGCATCATAGCATATCCTATATGGGCACCGATTCATGTCCCGGCTGTTCTACCTCCAAGATGGCACAAGTATTTGGGCCTCTGCCCACCCACATGGGAGACCCAGGTGAAATTCCTGGCTCCTGGCTTCATCCTGGCCCAGCACCATCAGATGGAAAATACCTCTCTCTGTCTCTCCCTCTCTCTCTGTAACTCTTTCAAAATAAATAAATATATCTTTTAAAGTTTTTTTATTTTTGTTAAGTGTATCAGTTTTTACTATGAATAAAATCAGTCAGCTTTTACTGTTATTTATCAATAACTCCAAGGTCTGATGCTGTGGCATAGTATGTTAAGTATCTGCCTGCAATGATGGTAACTTACATAGACACCAGTTCAAGTCCCAGCTGCTCCACTTCCATTCCAGCTCCCTGCTGATGGCCTGGGAATGCAGTGGAAGATGGCCCAAGTCTCTGGGCCCCTGCACCCACATGTGAGATCCAGAAGAAGCTCCTGGCTCTTGTCTTCGGATCAGCACAGCTCCAGTCACTGAGGCCATTTGGGGAGTAAACCAGCAGAGGGAAGACCTCTCTCTATGTCTCTCCCTCTCTCTGTCTGTAACTCTACCTCTCAAGTAAGTAGATACATCTTTAAAAAAAAAAAAAAAAAGGAAGAAAGAAAGAATGTGCCATTTAAAAAATAATAATAATAGGGGCTGGCGCTGTGGCGCAGTGGGTTAAAGCCCTAGTCTGAGGCACCAGCATCCCATATGGGCGCCAGTTGTAGTCTCGGCTGCTCCTCTTCCGACCCAGCTCTCTGCTATGACCTGGGAAAGCAGTAGAAGATGGCCCAAGGCCTTGGGCCCCTGTGCCCATGTGGGAGACCCTGAGGAAGTTCCTGGCTCCTGGCTTCATATCGGCGCAGCTCCAGCCATTGCGTCCATCTGGGGAGTGAAGCAGCAGATGGAAGATATCTCTCTGTGTCTCTACCTCTCTCTGTAACTCTGTCTTTCAAATAAATAAAGTAAATATTATTAATAATAATACTAATAACCCCAAAAATCTCAAACAAAGAGAGATTGGCATTATGCCACAGCAGGTTAAGTCACTGCTGGGGATACCCACATCCCATGTCAGAATGCTGGCTCAAGTCCTTACATCTTCGTTTCTAATCCAGCTTCCTGCTAATACACAGGAGGCACCAGATAATGGCTCAAGTGCTTGGGATCCACAAGCGAGACTCAGATGGAATTCCAGATTCCTGGCTTCAAGCTGGGGATCCCTGGCTATTGCGGGGATTTGGGTAGTAAACCAGTGAATGGAAGGTCTGTCTCTCTCTCTTACTCTGACTTTCTTTTTTTTTTTTTTTTTTTTTTTTTGACAGGCAGAGTGGACAGTGAGAGAGAGAGACAGAGAGAGAAAGGTCTTCCTTTTGCCGCTGGTTCACCCTCCAGTGGCCGCCGCTGCAGCCGGCGCACCGCGCTGATCCTGGCAGGAGCCAGGAGCCAGGTGCTTTTCCTGGTCTCCCATGGGGTGCAGGGCCCAAGCACCTGGGCCATCCTCCACTGCACTCCCTGGCCATAGCAGAGAGCTGGCCTGGAAGAGGGGCAACCGGGACAGAATCCGGCGCCCCAACCGGGACTAGAACCCGGTGTGCCGGCGCCGCAAGGTGGAGGATTAGCCTATTGAGCCACGGCGCCGGCCCTCTTACTCTGACTTTCAAGAAATAAGTAAATAAACATTAAAACATGCACACAAAGATTGTTCCTTGCTCTCTTTTCAAGTAAACTGCAGTTTGGGTTGTAGCTTTGCCCTAGTGGCCTCCATTCCTTGGCCCAGGCTAGGGTGGTGACCCTACCTGGGACAGCCTCTATATCATCTCATTCTCATGGCAGAGGGAAAAGTAGAACTTCTAGAAACACATGATGTGGTCTTCAATTAGGGCCTGGCATACAGCACTTCAGCTCATAGGAAGATGTTCCCAAACAATAAAACTTACTGAGAAATAATACTGTTGATCACAATAGGATATTGCTCAGAAACTGCTATTAATAATCCAGAGCCTTTGTTTAGATTTTGTATCCATTCATTCATTCATTCTTTTTACTTTAAAGATGTATTTATTTGAAAGTCAGAGTTACACAGACAGAGAAGGAGAGGCAGAGAGAAAAAGAGAAGTCTTCCAACCACTGGTTCACTCCCCAAATGGCCACAACAGCTGGAGCTGTGCCGATCCAAAGCCAGGAGCCAGGAGCTTCTTCTAGGTCTCCCACGTGGTACTTGGGCCATCTTCTACTGCTTTCCCAGGCCATAACGGAGAGCTAGAATTGGAAGTGGAGCCGTTAGGTCTCGAACCAGCATCTATATAGGATGCTGGTACTGCAAGCGGCAGCTTTACCCACTATGTCACAGTGCTGGCCCCATTCATTCTTTTTTTTTTTTTTTTTTTTTTTTTTTTGTGACAGGCAGAGTTAGACAGTAAGAGAGAGAGACAGAGAGAAAGGTCTTCCTTTTGCCGTTGGTTCACCCCCCAAGTGGCCGCCACGGCCAGCGCGTTGCAGCTGGTGCGCTGCACCGATAGAAAGCCAGGTACTTCCTCCTGGTCTCCCATGCCTTCCAGGCCACAGCGGAGAGCTAGACTGGAAGAGGGTCAACCAGGACAGAATCCGGCGCCCCGACTGGGACTAGAACCCCATGTGCCGGCGTCGCAAGCCTAGTGAGCCGGGCGCCGGCCTTTTTTTTACCTTTTTTTTTTCCCATTCATTCTTAATTCACCGTGTTTCTTACATTGCAAAGAGCCCTGTCAGAGATCCTCTGTGTCTGAAAAGTTAAGACCTGCAAGTGAGAGGTCCTTTTATTCTGTGTCTGTTTGGTTGTGCCTCTGCAATTCCTGGGCAGTGGCCTGAGTATGTGACAGACACAAACCTGTCTTCATTTGTACAAAGGAAGCCAGGGCCTCAGACTTCAGAGGACGGTTGGTTCTGCCAGTATCAAAGGAAACTGGCATGAGAAGTTCCTTCCACAAAAAAAGTTATCCCACAGAGTGAATGACTGGATTGCAGAAAGAGAGGCCATCTCTGGTCTAAATCTTCGAGGTGAGACTTAAGTAACAAATCTCATCCTATAAACCATATTTAAATGAGGTTAATCTGTCACAAACTATGCAGGTATTCAATTTTGATTACTAGTTTAGATATCTATCTTTATTCTGCATTTCTCTCAAAGATTCCTCTAAAGGTTTTTGGCTTAAGGTTACTGGAGTTGTTGAAATGGCTAATTGAGATGAAGTTTTTGAACTATGGTGTTAGCCAAGGTAAAAAGGAAAATTAAACCAACAACAACTCTCAACTGAGAACTTCTATGTTGCAAGTTTTTCTGTCTTGTAACCTTTCTCAATCTGTTATCATGTAGAATTATATCCTGTACATTAGTGTGGATTTTTGTTTTGTGTCATTTTCTTGAGAGGCAGACAGACACAAAGAACTCCCACCCCCTGGTTCATTCCTCAGTATTCACAATGGCTGGGACTGGGCTGGGGGAAAAAAACAGGAGCCAGGAATGCAATCCAGATCTTGCACAAGGGTAGAATGAACCCATTCACTTGAGCCATCACTGCTGCCTCCCGGGATCTACATTAGCAGGAAGGAGGTCAGGAGCTGGAGCTGGGAACTGAACACAGGTAGTACGATGTGGGCCACCGGCATCATAACCACTAGGCTAAAGGCCTACTCCTGCATGGTATTTTTTGCAAGAAATTTTCTTCCAAAAATCATTTACAATATGCTATGGATTGAATAGGATATGACTCCTAAAACCATGCAAACATTTAAAGTTTAAACCCGAAAGTCTTATTTTAATGGGTGGAAATTTACTCCAATAATGGTATTTAGAAGCTGGACATAGTGGGTGTCCTTGGGTCATTGGGAGTGGGTCCTCAGAAGGTAGTTCTCACCAAAGGGTTGGTTACAAAAGCTGGAGACAGGCTTCCCGGCTCACTGTGTGATTGCGCCTCCACACGCTCTACCCTGGTCGTCCTCTGGCCTCATCAGATGGCCGAATCAATGGGACCCAGCCCATCTTGGACTGTGAGCCTCTAAAATTGTAAGCCAAAATGAACTTCTCTCCTGCATTCATAGCTTCTTTCAGGTAATTATTGCAGAAATGAAAAGCTGACCAATACAAAATGTAAATCAAAATCACAAAACAATACATACATTTTGGAAAACGTTGAATACGTATGGCCGAGAAAATTAAAAAAAAAAAAAAAGTGAGCTCTACCAGTTTTGCTCTGGGAGTGCCACCAATCATATTACTCATCAGCATGGGTACAGAACCTGAGATCAAAGTCTCTCTGGTGCCATAGATGGCTCCTAGGGGCCCGGGACAAAGAGTACGATTATCATCACATTGAGATTTCTGTTTATTGTTCTGACCTCTTCCCAGGTCTCAGTTGTCTTATCTTCCCTTGTAAATCTTTTTTTCTAGATTTTTAGCCATTTTTTATTATCTACCACTTATGCCTAGGCAAGTCTTCACATCAGTTTAGGAATCAAGACTTATGGAAAGTAACAAAAGTATGCATATAGTATATAAACAAAAATATGCTCCTCATCACAAGGTTTTTATATTAATATCAAAGAAATCTCTGAAGTGTCCTATATGCAGATTTGTTTAAATGGGCACTCCAAGAAGGAACAATCACCTCATTATTTGTCATTTTTTTCAGTACTTAAAATAGGCAACGGAAGAAAACAACAAATTAGGCCCTGCTACAAGAGAAACAGGACCAGATTCTTTTTCTGTTTCTCTTCCTTAGAGACAACTGCATCCATTTCAGATTATTTTAGTCCCTGCTATGGTTCAATCAACTCTAATAGTTACGGAATGTGAAATGTCTACATAAGATTGTGAGAGACATTTTTTTTCTTACTAGAGTCACTACCAGATGCAAACAAGGTGATATGTCCCTGCAAGCTACTGTTGCTAAATTGTGAATAAAGGAAAAAGAAAGACTGATCTAGATAATACATCTAAGATGCTTGCTGAGT